TCGCTTGCGCTTTGGCTGTTGCCTCCGCTGGATACCTTTCTCCTCTTGGTTATGGAGCTCACCACGTCTATGGAGGACATCAAGTCTATGGTGTTCATCATGTTGAAGCTCAACATCTTCCTTTGATTGGAGCTGATGGTGTTCCAGTTGATACCGCTGCTGTCCAACAAGCTAAGGTTGAACATTCCGTGCACAAGGCTCATGCTGAAGCTCGCAACGGAGATTTGTACCATGGAGTCGTTGCTCATGGAGTTGTCGCTCATGGAGCTGTTGTAGCTGCCCCAGTTGTATCAACCTATGCCGCTCATTACACCCCATCTGTGTACACTGGCCCACAACACATCCCAGTCATTGGAGCCACCGGTGTCCCAGTAGAAACCCCAGAAGTTCAACACGCCAAGGCTGCCCATTTGGTGCACAAAGCTGAAGTACAAGCCCGCAACGGTGCTTCCGTTCACGCTGTCGTAGCTCCAGTCGTAGCTCACTCAGTTGTATCTCACCATGTCCCAGTTGTAGCCCACGGTGTTCCAGTAGAGACCCCAGAAGTCCAACACGCTAAAATCGCTCATTTCGCTGCTCACGCTGAAGCCAAAGCCCGTAACGCCATCGTAGCTCACTCTGTTGTATCCCATGATGTCCCAGCCATCGTCAATGGTGTCCCAGTCGATACCGTCGAAGTACAACACGCTAAAGCCGCTCACTTTGCCGCTAAGGCCGAGGCTCATGCTCGCAACGGAGATTACGTCCATGGTGTTGTAGGATACACTGGTGTAGTAGCTCCAGTAGCTCACCACGTCCCAGCCATCGTCAACGGAGTCCCAGTCGACACTGTCGAAGTACAACACGCTAAAGCCGCCCACTACGCCGCCAAGGCTCAAGCCCTCAACGGTCACTACACTCACGGAATCGTAGGATACTCTGGTGTAGTAGCTCCAGTAGCTCACCACGTCCCAGTAGTATCCACTTACGCCCATCATTATACTCCATCTGTATATACTGGACCACAACACGTCCCAGTAATTGATGCCTCCGGTGTCCCAGTAGAAACCCCAGAAGTTCAACACGCCAAGGCCGTCCATTTGGCTGCTCACGTTAAAACCGTTTCCAAGTGGTAATTTTCTAAAATTAAAATTGTTATATAACAAAGGCTGTCCACGTCCGGAGTTTCTGAATGAATCATTCAGTTAGCTGACTTATTAATTGTAGCTCGTGATTTTTTTTGATTTGATGTAAATAAATATGAAAATATTAATAATTTTTCTTTATCTACTTTAAAATATCTTCCTAATACTCCTACTAATTATGAAAAATAAAAATAGATAAATTACAAAAGTTATTCTTAATAACAACAATTTTTAATAACTTTGACAAACAAATTAATATTGGTTTAATGTTCTTCATTTTCATTTAAATTATTTATTTAATTACATTAATGTTTATATTGTTTTCATTATAATTTAAGTATAATTTATTTATGCAACATTGCAAAAACTTTCTCTCTTTTTAATTATCTAACTGACGTAAACTCATTCAAACACAATTATTTACTATTTTATGTTGTTCTTACTTTAACATAACAATGAATATTTCTTTATAATAGTTATTAATAGAAAATTAAAATAGTTTATCCTTCAATAATGTAGATTATTACTATATATAAAAATTCTATGAAATTGATATTACGTAAATTTCGAAAATTTATTTGTAACTTTTGATATATAATTAAAAAGCAGTAATTAAATACAGTTACTAGTAATTCCAATAAATTATTAAACAAATTGGAAATACAAATTTTGTAAAACTTGTTGCACAATTTTAATGCAATGTAAAATAACATAGATTTTATTTATTTACAATTATCTTGAAAACTGATGAAATTTATTTATTATTTATAAAAATTTGTTAATGGTTAACTAATCATTTTTAATAAATTATTACCAAATTAGTAAATTATCGTTCATTTATCTAATTTAGGTATAAAAAATGAATGAAATATATCCTTGCTCTCTTTTCAAAATAAATTTTACTTATTGCAAAATTTGCATACATATATTTTTTTTCTACAATAAAATTAATTTGGCTAGAAACAATTTTGCAAATTTGCATTGGGCAAAATATATTTTTTTTTATGTAAACACTAATTAATATTCAATAGATCACACACACCCAAAGAGCGCTTGCATTAATTTACTCTTCCGAATCGTAATTTAGTTTTAGAAGTTTTCGAGCTCATTTCTAATCCTTGATCTTCAAATATGTTTGAAGGTGCTTCACTTTTCATCGAGTATAAAAATGTAGAGCGAAATCGGAATTGGCACAGTCTTAACAGTCCTATCAAACAGGAGGTTAATAACTACGCATAAAAATGAAATTCTTTGTAAGTAATTTAAAATTTTAATTAGAATTGTGATAATTGTTGTGATTTTCTTAATTTAGGTTGTTTTCGCTTGCGCTTTGGCTGCTGCCTCTGCTGGATACCTTTCTCCTCTTGGTTATGGAGCTCATCACGTCTATGGAGGACATCAAGTTTATGGTGTTCATCATGTAGAACATCAACATCTTCCAGTTATTGGAGCTGATGGTGTCCCAGTCGATACTGCTGCTGTCCAACAAGCTAAGGTTGAACACTCCGTGCACAAGGCTCATGCTGAAGCTCGCAACGGAGATTTGTACCATGGAGTCATTGCTCATGGAGTTGTCGCTCATGGAGCTGTAGTAGCTGCCCCAGTTGTATCAACCTATGCTGCTCATTATACCCCATCTGTGTACACTGGCCCACAACACGTCCCAGTCATTGGAGCCACCGGTGTCCCAGTAGAAACCCCAGAAGTTCAACACGCCAAGGCTGCCCATTTGGCCCACAAAGCCGAAGTACAAGCCCGCAACGGTGCTTCCGTTCACGCTGTTGTAGCTCCAGTCGTAGCTCACTCTGTTGTATCCCATCATGTCCCAGTTGTTGCCAACGGTTCTCCAGTAGAGACCCCAGAAGTCCAACACGCTAAGGCCGTTCACTTCGCTGCTCACGCTGAAGCCAATGCCCGTAACGCTATCGTAGCTCACTCTGTTGTATCCCACGATGTCCCAGCCATCGTCAATGGTGTCCCAGTCGATACCGTCGAAGTACAACACGCTAAAGCCGCTCACTTTGCCGCTAAAGCCGAAGCTCATGCTCGCAACGGAGATTACGTCCATGCAGTTGTAGGATACACTGGTGTAGTAGCTCCAGTAGCTCACCACGTCC